GAATTTGATGTGTTTAAAGCCAGCTTTGGCTGCGAGGGCTTTAAATTCATCGCGAGTTCGCTCCTTTCCTTCTATGCTTTGAGTCATCATAAGCACATCGCCTTGGATGATGACTTTCGCTGCGGTTGTGGTCTCTGGCACCGTTGGAGCCACTCCCTCCATCACAATGACCTTCCCGTCGTCCGGGATGGCGACATAGCAATTTTTCAACAGCTTCACGCAATGGTCGTCACTCCAATCGTGAAGTATCCACTATAAAGTTACATTAATACTTTATCATTAACTACGTAAATCTATCTAAGTTTTATGATTTTAAGCGACGAGAAAAATGTCATTATTTAGAAATCTAACCTTCATGAAAATAGCATCTCCGTTTGGAATTTTCTCGAACATGTCTCCTGCTACATGTTCTACACCTGCCAACATTTGTTCTAGAATATAACCGTGCTACTCGAATCATACTGAATGAAACTATAGAAATCAAAATTGAAAATAAAGTTGTGGAAGAAATTGTTTACGTGGATAGGATGGTGCATCTTGAATGACATGAGCCAAGTCAAAGTTGATGCCTTTGATTGAAGGGTATGCAGACGTGATGATTTTTAGGGTGATCCCGAGACCACCACCAACATCAACTAGTTGCTTGAGGCTTGCAAAGCCGTTGTAGGACTCGACAACTATCTTGATGACCGTGGTGGTGTGATTTATCATCGCGTTGTTGAAAACTTGATTAAATCTTTGATCCAAACAATTGTATTCAAAGAAATGAAGTCCCTCATGAGCCCTATTGAATGGAACTCCTCCTTCAATCACAACATTCTTCAGCTCACTCCTGTAAATATAATTTTGAATTTAGTACATTTGATTTACGAATTAAATCGAGTTTGAAATTATTTAGTATATACAAATTTTTTTTGGTCGGAAAATGCTCATATTATATTATCGATCAAAAGATCAGAACAAACCAGCTATGGAGAATGACTTTATCTTGAATCATCGATAAAATAGGACCCAACGACACACCATCTTCGTTAAGAACAAAATACTTAGCGACCGGCGTAATGCTATACAATCTCTGCTGATTCCCATTTTCATCAATGATCACCGAGCACCCCACCACCGTGTGGGCCGCTAGAAGCCTCAGGATCCGATCGATCATCGACGCAGCATCCGGGTTCGAGGTGGTTATCTTAGCGGCTATCTCAGTCGGAGACAGCTCGGCCCCATCGCCAGCCTTGGCCAAGATCTCAAACAAGCCGAGCTCGAAGGCTGCTTGAAGTGTCATCGGCAGAACTGTTGAGGTAACCAATTGCGCAGCGTAAGCGTAGTGTTGTTGTTCTTGGCCGTCGTCGGAGTTGGAGGAAGCCATGGTTGACTGTTCCCCCGCCGTGGAAGCCATCGCCGGAGCTCTGTGATGAGGAGGGGAAGCGGAGGCTGCAGCAGCAACTTTTGTAATGGTTGGTGCAATGAACATGTGAGGTTTTTTTGTTAACCGACTTTAGCTTTTTATAATAAGAAAAAACATATTTTTTGAATTATTATTTTATCAACTTATATAATTTAATAATTTAAATAATTTATACCACCCGATCTAAAATATGAGTTAAATTGGGTTAGATATTTTTCGGATGAATGTTAAAATTTTAGTAATTAATATGATATATTAGGAATAAATATGATTTTCTTTTTAAAAAAACAAATTTAATAAAAACGAACAAACAGCCTAATTAAAAAATATTAGGTTGGGTTGATTTAACATAACTTTGTTTAAAAACTTCATGTGATCGGGTGGTTGGGTGTTGCGTACACATGAGAGGATGGATTGTTAGGCCCAACCATGTAACAGCCTAACCTGAAAACATTCGCATGTTACAACTCGTGCACGTTCGTAACTTATTCTATGAAGCTTTCGTTTGTTCTCGATTTCTATCAATTTCTAAATATGTTTCTTTCCATCTCGATCGTTCGCTCAACTATCCTTAGTCCACATAATTTCTAGGTCTTTTTTTTCTTGGTCTCGACGTAATCACACATTAAATTGCATACTGTCTCTTGATACATAGTCTCAGGTCGTTGGCCATCTTTGTATCCCACACCTGTTTATGCCCTTACCACTATGGATCGTTACGTAGAATAGTACTAATAGTTATTGCTTCTGGTAAATGGTGAATATGGGCTAAAACGGATGGATGCCTAAGCGTTAGAGTTGTGGGTATGAAAGTTTTGAGTTCTATATAGTTTGCTTATATCGTAAGCGTTAGATGTCTCTATAGTCGAGCAACAAACACCTGATCACCACATGCTTTGTGTTGCAATTGCACTCTTGTAGCAGTAGAACAACGATTGTGCAGCACTTATTCTAACTCAGTGAACAAGTTAGTCATATGGAAGATGGACTTTGTAGACAATCTTGACGTAAAATTGAGCCTTGGTCACGTTTGAGAGAAATGTTTTAGAAAACTTGAGAGACGAAATACGTTGAAAGAAATCAATGTTATAAGCTAAAAGCGAATAAGCAACAACTATAGTTTTGATAGCATATAACTCGGGTATAAAGAATTGACAACTAGTCACATCCCCCTATTGTACATTTTGGGTCATTTTAGCCGGGACGGAGGTAGATATAATTTTGATGACTAGTCATACACCCTGGCATTGACACAACAAGAATAGTAAAGTTCTATCTAACAAAATATTTTTAACGTGAATACCAAATACAATTATTTGATTATCGGGTATTATTTTTTCAGACATTCTAAACAAAGCATTGAACTAAATCGCATTTTAAATATCAAAATACGTTCATTTCAACAACTCTATGATCCAATGATTGCTTACGAAACAGACGAATTTGATGAATTTAAAGCCAGCTTTGGTTGCAAGGGCTTTAAATTCATCGCGAGTTCGCTCCCTTCCTCCTATGCTTTGAGTCATCATAAGAATATCGCATTGGATGACGGCTTTGGCTGCGTCCGTGGTCTCCGGCACCGTCGGAACCACTCCTTCCATCACGATTACCTTCCCATCGTCTGGGATCGCAGCGTAGCAATTTTTCAATAGCTTCACGCATTGCTCGTCACTCCAATCATGAATTACACACTATAAACTTACATAAATATTTTATCATTACAATTACCTAAATTTAAATCTAAATACTTTATCATTAAAACCAGAGATAATCTAATAAAAGGTTGATAGACTCTAAATATATATATATATATATATATATTTTGTAAAGATGATGGGGATTAATACTACTTTAAAATTTTATTGATATTTTTTTTAAACATAATTTTAACGGTATTTTTTAACTTTTTTTAAAAAAAAATTAAATTATTAATAAAACTTTTGAAAGTTTACAAACGGTTACAAAAATTTATGATTTTTTTATTATTATTAATCCTTTTAAAAATAATTTAATAGGTTCAATTTTGTGTTAATTATTTGACTTTGTATTAAGTCAATAACTTATTAGGATTCTCGAATTTATGGAACAAAAATTTAAAGCTTTAAAATTTTATTAGATATAAAATTCAATTTTGTTTATAATAAATAGATTGATACTTAAAATTTTAAAATTTTTGAAAATTTATTAGACATAAAAATAAGAATAGGTGTTTAATAAAATTATTACCATCAAATCCAATTTCTTTATATCAAATTTTTAGTTTCTTAAAATAAAATAATAGCTCAATATCAATTTGAATTTTTTTTTTTCCATAAAAAAAAATGTTCCATTCAAATGGTTAAATTCTCGTAAAATTTTATGGATCTAAAGCTGATCGATCAAATTAAAAGTTGCCAGTATTTCGCAACTTTTTATAATAAAAAAAAATTGTAGCATAATTTTAAGATTTTTTTTTTTAATTTTAAAAAACAAATATAAAATTATGAAATAAAAAGATATACAGAAAACCAACCTTCATAAAAATAGCATCTCCATTCGGAACTTTCTCAAACATGTCTCCTCCTACATGTTCTATACCTGCAAACATTTTTTCTCGAATATAATCAAACTATGCGAATAATAGTTGTTGGATGATAAAAGTCCCACCACATCGACTAATTGAGGGAAGGATCGTGAGTTTATAATTAAAGAATACTCTATTCATTGGTACGAGACTTTTTGGGGAAGCCCTGAAGCCATGAGAGATTATGCTCAAAGTGGACAATATCATTGAGAGTTGTGTTCGTCTAGCAATAGTAAATTTTTTTGAAAATATAAAGATCAAAATTAAAAATAAAGTTCGAGAAGAAATTGTTTACCTGGATAGGACGGTGCATCTTGAATGACATGAGGCAAGTCAAAGTTGATGCCTTTGATTGAAGGATATGCAGATGCGATGATTTTAAGGGTCACTCCGAGACCACCACCAACATCAACTAGTTGCTTGAGGTTTGCAAAACCGTTGTAATATTTGACAGCTGTCTTGATGGCCGTGGCAGTGTTATTTATCATTGCGTTGTTGAAAACTTGATTAAATCTTTGATCCAAGCAAGGGTATTCGAAGGCATGAAGTCCCCCATGAGCCCTATTGAATGGAACTCCTCCTTCGATGACAGCATTCTTGAGCTCACTCCTGCCAATATAATTTCAATTTTATGTCGTGATTAAATGCTCGTAATATATCATCAATCAATTTTAATCAAAATAAAGAGCAAACCAGCTTTGGAGCGAGACTTTGTCTTGGATCAACGATAAAAAAGCACCCAACGACACGCCATCTTCGTTAAGAACGAAATACTTAGCCACTGGCTTAAGGCTATACAATCTTTGCTGATTCCCATTTTCATCGATGATCACCGAGCACCCAACCACGGAGTGGGCCGCCAGAAGCCTCAGGATCCGATCGATCATCGACGCTGCATCCGGGTTCGACGTGGTTATCTTAGCGGCTATCTCGATCGGAGACAGCTCGGCCCCATCGCCGGCCTTGGCCAAGATCTCAAACAAGCCGAGCTCGAAGGCTGCCTGGAGTGTNCCAAAATAACATAATTAACCTCATAAACGGAAGAATAATTATTCCTCTGACTTTTTAACTGAAAGAAAAGATAAGCAGCATAAGCCAGAAGCATAATGCAACTGCTGAATCTAGAAAGTGCCAATTCCGACTTCCCAAAATGGGCTTCGCTGTGGGTGTAGTTGAGAAGAACAGGAAAAAGAAGGCCCATGACAGCCATTAACAACAATCCTGAGTTGACACCAGCAGCTGCCTACATGAAATTTCAGCTTTAGCACAAAAAGTAGCTTAAAAACTAATAGGTAAAAGGAAAAGCCATTCCTGGGTTGGGGTGAAACTGAAACCTTTATACCTTGTTAAAAGTCTGTTCCTTTTTGTTGAAAACAAGCCCACCACAGAAGAATGCACAACCAAGCACCAGCAACATGTTCGACAGAATTGAGCCTAGCAAGGATAGCTGAACAACACGTATCATTTGATTTTTCAGTGCAAAAATTGATATGATGAGTTCTGTTGCATTTCCAAAAGTAGCATTTAGTAGACCGCCAACTGCAGATTCAATCGTCAAGTGAGTGGAGAAAATTTAACAAATAATGGATCATTATAACCAAATCCAAAAGAAAACAGAATAGACATGAAACAGCTGTGCATATGGAAGAATGGTTAATTGAAAAGGAAAACTTCGCCTAATCAGAATAGACATGAAACAGCTGTGCATATGGAAGAATGGTTAATTGAAAAGGAAAACTTCGCCTAATCAGAATAAGAAAGGTTTACCACTTTTTTACACGGTTAAGGGGACGCTTGATCCCCTTATACCTCTGTAATTACTTTTTCATTGATGTGCGTATGTGCACACTAATGTTTTTCCTACCAAATACACATGAGATTTTCACAACTACGATAATTTGTATATAGTACACTACGACAGCACCCTCCCTCCCCCTCTCCCTCCCCTTCTCAGGATTGTACTGATTCAGTAGACTAATGGCAACAGATGAATCAGCACCAGAAGTTACAGTGCAAAAAGAACATTTTTGCAGTTGCAGATATTTTACAACACCTAAGGCATATCATTGAACATACAATCATCATAAGTTATCCCAGTGTCAAAAAGAAAAGCTATATAAACTCATAAACATCCCATGAACAGGTTTCTTAACTCCAAATATCAAAAGAACTCAGAAAATCATAGTCGTGACAAATTGAGATCGAGACTCAACCTGTAGGCCCAGTGTAAAAAGCCAGCTGCCTGTTTCAAGGGAAAAATTAGATGAGCTGCAAAAAGCTTTTTAGATTAAAAAGAAAAA